AATTCAAAATATTTCACGGGCTTTATTTTCAATACATATTAATTATCTTTTTGTTTCGAAATTAATGCTATTATATGTATATTAAATATACACAGATATATATTTAAAGATATTTTCAAATTAGCAATGCCTTAACCTCTTCATAAAAGAAATATTTTAAGAACTTAAGGATATTAAAACTATTTTTAAAATGTCCCTTTTTAATATTTCTTGTATGATTCTGAATTTAGACAAAACATAAAATGAAAAAACTTGCAGTTAAAAGGATGATTCTGCTACTAGCTCTGTTATCTATATTATTTTTTCGCCCTTACTTATTCAAACAAATGGAATTTAAGTCAATGGAATTTAAGTCATTCTAGTACGTGGCCGATTGGTGAACCTATATACTGATAGTACGAAGCAGGTTCTAATCCAGGCGAAAGGCTAGCTGCATGGGAACCTTTTGCAGTTTAACAAATGACATTTAAGAAATATAAAGAGAATGAATTCACTTATCAGCAATTGAAAATTTTGCAAGAATGCATCCAGATGCTATTTAAAGACAAGCAAACGAAAAAAAGAATATAACAGGCATAGTGGCATAGCTAATAGCTTTTGCCTCCCGGGGCGATCCATTTGCCGCCACTCTTAATGCCACCAAAAAATCAGATCTATAAAATGTATATATGGGGAAATAAATAAAAGCTTTGTTTCGTTTCTGAAATAAAACTTTGATTCCAACACTATAGAAAGCTATTTTGTTTGTTTTTCTGTTACGAGAATCGTCGAGGACTTGCTTCATTACTCCAGCTGATCTCCTGTAGACTGTACGGTATTATTAAATAAAAGGTACTTGTATTTTTATGTCTTAAGTACTTCTTAATCGATTTGTATCTAGTAAAATTATTCCTGCAATAAATGATGCAGTAAGTGGGAGGAAAATTAGAAGTAGAATTATAATATTTGGAATTTCGGTTTTGGACACCGCATTTTAGAATAAATTGTAAAAGTTCAAAGCTACTTTCCTTCCACCTCTTGATTTCGTGTTCCCAAGCAGTAACAAAAATGAAATTCCTAAGTATTTCTCTCTCAATGAGGAATTCTTTCTTATTTATGCCATTAAAGTCATTATTAAGTGACATTCGTATTTTCCATTCAAAAGTTTCGACGGCGTAAGGAAGGCATAAAAGTAAAGTTAATGAAGTCTCTTTGTAATTTATTTAAATACTCTGTCCAGGGTAAAAAGAAAAAGAAAAAAAAAAAAAAAAGGATACCCTGTGCTGAGTTTAGTTTCGATCATAGTTCAGCATCTTGTGATTGTTCAACGCACCAATGATTCAACAATGGTTGAATGCTAGTAGTTTAACTGAAGGTCAAATCTCAGACAACAGGCTTTTGGATGTAGCCAAGGCCTTCGATTGACTCTGGTTGGAGAGCCTCATACACAAAATCATAAATCTGGGTTTCCCAGATTACATCACACACATCACTTATTCTTATCTTATGGATCGACACTTTGGCGTTCGTGCCAACAACACAATCTCCTCCCCTAGGCCCATTAGTGCTGGGGTCCCACAAGGGCCCGTTTTGGGCCCCTATACTTTAACCTTTACACGAACAACATCCCACATACACCACACATCACCCTAGCAATATATGCTGATGATACGGCAATCCTATCACAAAACGCATCTTACGGCTCAGTACACTCGCCCTTTAATTGCTTGGAACAGCGTTCTCTGTATTGATAATAAATTATCATTTACAAAGCCCTGTTACGTTCCATCATCACATATGCCTGCCCTGTCTGGGCATATGCAAGTGATACAAATATCCAAAAACTGCAAATTTTACAAACTATTGTTTTAAGGAAAGCGGTGGATTGTCCGTGGTTCATAAGGCACTCGACGATCCACCGTGAATTTAACATTCCCTACGTACAAGTTTACATGGCCAATCTGGCTGACAGATTCTTTAATAACATCCCTCAGGTACTGAATCCCACTATACCTGTGTTGAATTATAACTTTAATGTACGGGCGTATAGGAAAATACCGTTTGCGGTCCTGAGACATTTAAATTAAATAATAATAATAATCAAAAATTCTTAATTTCATTGCTCTGAATGCATCTGTTATATTTTTTTCTATGTATATTGTATTGTCGTATTGTATTGTATGTATCCTATGTATTTTTTTATATCTCTTTCATATGTCTTTTGATATGTATCTGACTGTTTCCTTCTGAGTATTTATGTTGTTTATTGCTGCACCTCTACAATGTATTGTCTGTTATGTCACCTACTAAGTAAGGACTCTCTTGCAATTTGGCATTTCTTTTTAACTCCGCACCGCCGTTCGTACTTATACTTCACTGGACTTGGCTTATCAGCTACAGATGTAGCATAGTGTCGTTTCGAACTTATTCACTTGTTCGTCAGTGGACTTACCCTGGTTATACGTTTATTGCTATTAAATGCGTTATTCATCCTCTAGGGTAATGCAGGGGCGATTTTTAAGTGCTTCGCAGAGAAATTTATTTCTCTACAAAAAGATCTCGCCACTTAGATAACCGTAGTGAACTTTACTATAGTCTAATACATCTCAATCAGTCTTTCTCCATATTACCAGCCCCCTACAATATAAATCCCATTAAACATGCCGTGGGCAGACCGCTTTCTTCTAGCTACGCCATTGAACAGACAGTGTACAAGGTTTCTTTTCACAAACCGTTTGATTAACATCGGCGAGCCCGGCGAAAAATGCTTCCAAGAAAAGTTCTCTCAGATAGACTAGGGAAAACTTATGTTTTATAAAAGAAATCATGAAAACTTAAATAGGTGTTAATGTATTAATAATAAAGCTACGCATTAATAATAATAAATTATATTTAAATTGAAAGGTAGACATAAGCTTCCTGGAATCTCGGTTGGCAACACCTGCGAGACACCCACTGCGTTAACATGTGTGCTAGTATCTCACGAAAAACAGATCTTTTGACCAGTATAACAAATATATCTAACAGAGTAGAGGAAAAAATGTTTTAAACTAAAATATTCATATTACCATATTACTATGGTAAAATTAGAATTTTGTATCAAAGAAGAGATTTCCATTAGAATTTTCAAAATTAAAAAAAAATATATATATAAAAACTCATACAAATATTTCACTTCTTTTTCGCAAGTAAAATTACTTTTTTTTTCCGATACTGTAGTCTCATAAAACAAATTTTTTATTGTTGAATAAAGTTAAAATTCAAAGTCAAGGAGAATTTCAATGTTAAAGTCTTGGAATTTGTTTCTGCATTTCTTTTTGAACGTAAAATGATGTACATAGAAAAATATGGAAACATTAATAACATATACCACCATTTAAAAGAATTAAAAAAACAAAAGAAAAAAAAAGAAAAAGAGAGAAGCGAAAACAATGAACAGAGAGACGATGGAACTGCAATCTGTACATTACTATCAAATTTCATATTTACACAACTGCTAGCTGCAAATAATAACATCTCTTCAAACGTGTCAAAAAGAATAACATTAATTATTGCACATATCTGTCTAGAACAACTGAAGATAAGCTTCTTGTTTTTATGCTTTTTCATGTCAAAGTACATGTCCTAGATTTTAATGGAAGGGCTTTAGAGTTAAACTTGATATAGATTTGTCTTACATGACGAAGATTAAATTCTGATGCATATCTTCTAAAATAAATTAAAAATTTAATATTCCATATCTTGATGGTAATTTGATTCTTCTTAGTTAAAAATTTGCACAGATTCTGGCTGAGGTTAAAATTTAAACATATTAATGCTGTAAAGTCAAATTTCTCTTAAACATCGAATGATACAAAATTGATGACTTGAATGCGTTGACCTTTACGAAATATCTAAACTAATGTTAGCCGTGTAGCTATGCAATCAGACCAGATTTGACTGTCGGTTCCCCTGTCTCTTTGATAAATGAGACAGATACGCAGACAAGTGCATCAGTGGTAAAAGAAGGGCTTAGATCCTTCAAAGATTTAGCATTAATACAACGCCTCTGCTTATGAACTTGGATTTCGGCTGGAATTTCAACATAAGAGTACGGTAGGCTGCTTTGCCCACTGAGCTATGGAAACCAGCAAGAAGCTTCTGATAAATTTCACAAAAGAAAAAATTTAGAAGATTTACTTTTAATGACATTACTTGATTGTCACTAGCGCCGTAGCTAAGTAATCTAACTAGGTGCACCTTTCGCAACAGCGTAGTTACAAATGCAGTTAAAAGTTTTGCTCTTTTAGCAATCAAACATTAATGAGTTAAAATTATTTTACGTTTATCTGTCTCATTTTACGTTATGTTGCCTTATTTTACATTTATTTTTACGCAGCTTGTTCCTTTATTACTACTTAAAAGAAATAACTCGCATGAAATTCATCTATTGCATTTAAATGTTCAAAGATAAGCTAATTTTTATTTAATATTTATTTATTTAACAAGAAAAATTTTGAATTCCTTGAAATTTTCGAAAGCTATCTATCCTTACGTGCAACGTAAGAGTAGGAGATTAGACAGAGATTTTAATCCAAAACAGTATCTTGTGACTTTTTATCAAGGTCAAATTAGAGACATATATATATATATTGGTTAAGTAAAACATCTACTGTTATTATTTTACGCAATACTGTAAAAAAGGACAAAAGTTGATGAAAATAAAAAATGCTGTTTTTTGTAAAAGAAAAGTATCGAGATTTATAGATTGAGTTCATAAACTAGGCTTTAATCTTGTATAGATAAAAAACGAATAAAATAAGCTTATAATGTATTATTTTCCTTCGAAAGAAATGCAAATTTATTCTGTGCATTATCACTATCGATGCTTATTAGTTCTGTTGGAATTATTTCTTCAGAAATGCTACAAAAACCGCGTGTCCCTTAATGGAGCAAAGAAGTTGACATTAGAATTCAGCATGCTGAGTGACGTCACGCAGTCACGTCATTTCGGAAGAGCGGGAGCTAGCTGAGCCACTAAGATGGCGGAGACAACCCGCAATCAGAGACAGCGTTGCTATCTTTGCGACCTGCCCAGGACCCCATGGGCTATGTTGCTCGATTATGCCGAACCAGTGTGTAGAGGGTGTCTCAATTACGAGGGTGCCGACCGGATAGAAGGGGTCATAGAAGGGGCCCGCCGGTTGAAGCGACTCCACGGCTTTCACGGGAGTCAGGATTCAGCCAGGGTCGCGTCGAAGGGAGAGAGCGGCGGCGCGACCCGACAGCTAAAGCAGCGGGATGGGAAGCGATCAGCAGCTCCGCTTGAGAATGGCCGACCTACTCTGGTAAGAGGTGAAAGTTTACCAGCTACATGTGATGGCCGATACAGAAAAGATTCATTAGGAAGAGTATTTTCTTTTGATTCCGGCTCAACATCCACGAAATCAGGTAAGATACCTTCACACATTCAAATCTCAAATAAGATTTGGAAAGAAACATATTAATGTTTGTACATTCCTAACTGAAAATCCCATCTAGCTAGGAAAATATATATTTAAGTATTTAAATCTAGAAAGGACGTATATATATTCAGGTATCATGCAATTGGGAAAAGCACATGTGGTCACAAAATACATCTGGGTCTCTAAATCTAAAAATGATGAAACACATTCCGGTATTTTATCTTTTATAAAGGATAGCATATATTTAAAACAAAAAGGAGTCTGTTGCAACGGACAAATAAACGAGAGAATTTGGAAGTGTTTAAAAGAATTTTTATAGCATAAAATTAAGCATAATATAACAAACAATTTTCAATTGAACAAACTAAGTTCTTTCAAAAATGAAAAGCGATACTGAAGTATTAAAAATGAATTCATATATATAATTTCTAGAATATTTTGATTTTTTCTAAGGAAAAAACATATAATTTTCACTGTCAAACTGCCAAAAAGTGTTAAGGCAATTTCGTTAAAGTAAAAAACTTGGAAATATAAAAAATACCTATAAATAATAGGTACTCATACTTTCTAAAAATTCTTAAATCTTTTCAGATTAAAATGATGCTAAACAATACTTGAATTTTACCTGGTATTAAAGCTGAGTTCCATTACTGGTATTGCAGGTCTAAGTAATAAAGTTGTATAATTTTTGCTAAGGTGAAAACAGAGTCATGATAATGAGAACATTTTATTTATTCATTTACTTCAATTCAGTTCTTTATGAGACGCATATCTAACTCTATGGAATAAGAATTTAAAATAGTGGAAATTGCTAGATCTTCATTTTTTATTAAATAAATATTTCATTCACAATATGACTATAAGAGGAAAATACGAGGGTCAGTCAAACTTTTGAAATACAGGTAAATGGCACAGGTTAAACTCATCAAATCTTAGTTGAGTTCAGAGTAGTTTCCTTCAACACCGATGCACTTTTGCAGACGAATATTTCAGAGTAAACGTTTCAAATTATCCATTTCTTGGAATCGAGATAAAATACGCTTTTATAACTTCATCAGTCTCATCTTCGGAATGAAAATGATAGCAATGTAAATTTGTTTTAAATTAAAAAAACAACCTAAGGTTATGCATAGCAAGATCCGAAGAATAAGGTGGATGTTTTGTCACTTTGATGTGTTTTTGTTCAATAAATTCGACTGTCAGTCTTGCTGAATGAGAAGACGTATTATCACGGTTAAATATAGTCCCTTGTATGTGACTGTATGTGTGACATTGTACGTGACTGTTAGACGTCTTGAAGAATTTCTAGGAGAAATTTAGTAGTATACGAGTTAGCTGTAACTCTCTTCTGTCCCTCTAACTTGATGGCTTTGGCCGATCTTTCGCTTCTGATGAAAACGGCATAAATTACGTTTTTCATTGCCCGTTCTCTTTTCACCATAGTTGGTTAGGAATTATCTTTAAATAGCCATATTTTTACTTTCTTGGCGTGTTAGAAAACCGTATTTACGTTTTATCACTAGTTATGATTTTATAAATCATGTGGTGACCACCATCATTAAGTAGTTTTAGGGTTTTTTTACTGTTTCTGACACGTTTCGGTTTTTGGTGTTCTGTTAAGTTACGGGAAACCAAAGGCAAACTAATTTTTTTCATATAGATTTCTTCGAGAATTATTTTATGTATAGCTACAGATCTAATGCTAAGTTCTTCATCCAGTGACCCACTGTGACTAACGCGTATCTGCAATACTTCAACCTGCAATCTATATAATTTGGTAGATACAGCGGTTATCACTGATAAATATTTTTCGTTTGGCCGACACATTTTTTGGGATTACAGCTGACAAAGAACTTCCTGTATATTCTTTATCCAGACGAGAATTTCGACCTCGATGAAATTCTGTAAACCATCTCCATATAGGGAGACGAAATGGAGCTTCATTTACATTTGCTAATTGTAAATGTTGGAGGCATTTTTTTTTTTTTCTTAGCCCCACTTTAAGACTATAGATACTACGCTTGATTTTAATTTTATTTAATGAATGTATGAATATTTATGAGGTTAAAAATCTGACGATTAAAATACACTTTTGCAAAACGTTTTATTCTATTATTTTCATTCAACTTCAGTTTTAGCATTTAAATGAAACTAACTTTCAGTAATAGAACTCGGTATTTAATCAATGGTTGAATTTCACAGTTATTAAAATATGAATACAAACATCTCTTAAAAGAACGGCCATTTACTTGAAAAATTAAACCAAATAAAAATTTTATGGGTTTCTAGAAAAATATTTAATATCACTTTATTTGAGAAATTACTATAAATATAGAAAAGCGATAATTCCTGAATAAAAGTTTTTTAAAGAGAAGATTTCTGAACAAAATAAAAAATTGCATCACCGTTCAGCTAAAAATTGCAGTCAAACATATTATTACATGATATATTAAAAAGATCAAAATTTTTCATATAGATCAATGAAAGATTGGATTTATAAAAATAAATAAGTATATTTACCTAAAAAATAAAATGAAACAAAAATAAAACCTTGTAATGTTTGAGGAATGAGTAATAATAACTTTGAGTCTATTTGAACGCAACCTAAAACAAATTTTGAAAAGATTTTGGAAGCAAAATGTAAGAACCACAACGTAAAAGTCTGAGAAAATTTTAAGCAGTAAATGAAAAATAACAAAGAGTAGCTGAAAACATTTAACCCATTCGGAAGCAAAATTTACAGTTATAGATTCTATTCGGGTTTTCGAAGAATGAAAAATTAACAATGCCTTTGCAGAAGTTTGAAGTACAGATCTTTCGATTGCTAGCCAGGCGTGCTTGAAATAAAACTACGAAGCCACGAGGTAAGACAAGAGAAAATTCCTTGCATTCTTTTTCACTTAAAGTGGCGAAATCCAGGTGGTAACGAATTATTGGTCACTAGATTTCATTTCAGTCCACACTCGTCAAGTCTATAATATAATTTTTTCGAAACAGGAAATATTAAAATTTCCACCATGCCCTTCCCCATTATTCGAATTCAGGACCTTCTAATTGCTGCCCGGATATGTTTCCAATTACACCACAAAAGTACGCTGTAATAAAGGCGAAACTCTCTCACAACGTAAAATAAAATAATAATACTGTTACGAATTTGGTATTTAAAAAGCTAATGTTAGTTCAATTATAAATTAAATGGTTTTATTTCTCGCGCAGTGCAGCGCGTGACGAATATTAAAAGAAAGCTAAGCCGGAAAATTGAAAATACAAGAGCGCGTGCATTAAATAAATAATATCTTTTTGATTAAAGTAAATGGTAAGGCGTGATTTTGAAAATATTTAAAAGGAAAATCTCAGTTGGGGGGGGGGGGGGGGGGGAGGAGTGGAGGGGGGGCTAGTTTGGTTGTTTAGAAAACTGGTTGATTGTAGGGGGAGGCGGCGGGGGGGGGGGGGGGGGGGGTAGCTGGGGGGGATTACGTTCTATTGGACATTTGGTAGTTAAAAGATAACTGTGAATTTAGATTACTTTTGAGCGTGATTTATACCAGCTTTGTTGTGATAATAAAAATTTAAATTTGTCATTTTTCATCGGATTCTCAAACAATTCTGGATTTGAAAGAAGAAATATACCAGTTTTTAAAAACGAAAAATCAAGACGTAAGTTTGTTTTACGATCCAATATCGGATACAAGATTTATCTTTCTTGGTTGATATAACAAAACACTTAACGATTTAAATTTATCGTTACAAGGAGAAGATCATATCATTACGAACATGTTTGACATAAATTAAAGCATTCAAATGTCAACTAGTTCTTCGGGAAAAAGAACTTAAAAATGAAGATTTGACGCACTTCCCGACGTGCAGCATGAACAAATCAAGTTCGATGGTGTTCGGCTTAAAAAATTGTTGAATTTGAAAACGAGGTTTAATGATTTTAGTTCCTCGAAGGACAAATTTTTTTTTTGTTTTCTTCGATTTTCTCAATACGTATTGACTCAGTACCCAGCCATATGCAAATGGAGGTGATCGAGATTCAATGCAACTCAAATTGAAAGCAAAATTCATTGAAGTGGGCGTGCCTGAATTTACAAATTTACCGGCAGGTTTTGAAATACTCGAAAATTCGCATATGAAATTTTCCATGTTGGGTAGCACTTATCGGTGCGAGCAGTTATTTTCAGTCATGAAGGTAATAAGTCTCCTATAGAAACGTTATTAATGATGCTCACCTTGGGTCAGCGTTGAAAGTTATCACTGCAAACAAAATTTCTCCCGAAATAGGAAAGATAATAGCAGAGAAGAGATGTCAAGTATCAGGACGTAAACATTAAATTTTTCTTGTTCTTTTCTATATAAATATATATTATATGTTTATTATTGTATTATTCGAAATAAATCTACGTTTCTATGAATATTGATTTTTTTTTTTTTTTTTTCCTTAAGTAAACTTGTTTTGCCGGTACTATGGTTGACATCCGTTATAGTAAAATACGCAGCGTAAAAATGACCCCAACTCTATTAATATTGGAACATTATTGATATCGAGCCCCTTATATGTACCGAATTTAAAAATATTTAATAACTAGAAGAAAACTAATTGAAATCAAAATCGTAAAAAACAACCTTATATTTAGCGTAGGTATAATGAAACACTCAATCGATTTCGAGGGCAGCTAAAGGTCCCTCCTCATCAGGAGAAAGAAATACATAGAAAGAAGAAAATAGGAGAAGGAATCACAGAAACACGTGGTGCTTATCAGCACTGCACGTGGTTATAACTAGATTTTTAATCAGAGTTGCACTGGCCGCCTACTTTTACTGAGCCAGGCTGTCTGATCAAGCATAAAGAAATATTAGCGAAGTTAAAATAGGGAGCGAGGGGCAAATGCACATTACGCTCAAAATCTGAACTTCAAATAATGGAAAGCAACCACTGAACGGATTTTTATACCCTCTGGTAGTACCAAGCGCGAGGAGGTAACG